CGCTTAGCCTTGCCTAATCATTATCGTATTTCTCCTACTTTCCACATGTCATTACTCAAACCCGCTGGTGGTCCACGAGAGGAGGCGGTTGAGGAGGAATCGGAAACCAGGACCCCTCCACCTGTCATGATCGAGGGCGAGGAAGCTTACCTCGTTCGAGAAGTGCTGGACTCTCGACGTCGGGGTGGCGCCCTCCAATATCTGGTGGACTGGGAAGGGTACGGTCCAGAGGAATGGTCCTGGGTGAATGCTAGAGATATTCTAGACCCAACTCTCACGGAAGAGTTTCATCAAAGGTTCCCAGAGAAACCAGCCCCCCGACAGCGCGGTAGACCCCGGCGTCAGGTGCCTTCTCGCTTCAGGAGCCGCTCGCAGGAGGGGGGTTCTGTTGTAAATGAGGGCGATGCCAACCCTCTTGTGCACCACCAGAGGGAACCATCGCCAGAATTCTGATTCGACTCACGGACTCAAAATCCCATAAGCCCTGCTACCTGGCACTGATTACGGTCCAGGTGCAACTCATCAGCTCTCGTGTATATATACCACACTCACGCTCCGGTTCGTTGCGAAGTCTTGATTTGCCTGGCTGTCATTTCTGAGCGTTCCATACTCCCTGCTTCGGACTGATCTGTGTTTCTGACCCTGTGCTTGTTCTACGATTACGAAAGACATCTGCCTGCCCCTGATCTCCAGCCTGTTATTTTGACCAGTAAGATATCTGCCTGCCTTTGAACTTTTGCCTGTCCCACGTTCTGTCTCCTGGATTGCCCCTTTGTGTTTGTTTGTATGTGTGCTCTTAATAAAGCTTGCAAATGGATTCAATGCCTTCTGACTCATCACAACAGCTCTATTGGATAGAGATCAGGTGACTGTGGAGGCCATTTGAGTACAGTGACCTTATTGTAATGTTCAAGAAACCAGTCTGAGAAGATCTGCGTTTTATGACATGGCGCATCATCCAGCTAGAAGAAGCCATCAGAAGATGGTACACTGTGGTAATAAAAGGGATGGACATAGTCAGCAACAATACTCAGGTAGGCTGTGGCGTCAACACAATGCTCAATTGGTACTAATAGGCCCAAAATATGGCATGAAAATATCCCCCACACCATTACACCACCAGCCTGAATCGTTAATACAAGGCAGGATGAATCCATGCTTTCATGTTGTTGGCGCCAAATTCTGACCCAACCATCCGAATTAGACCAGACAACATTTTTTCCAATCTTCTATTGTCCAATTTTGGTGAGCCTGTGTGAATTGTAGCCTTAGTTTCCTGTTTTTAGCTGACAGGAGTGACACTCAGTGTGGTCTTCTGCAGCTGTAGCCCATCCGCCTTAAGGTTTGATGTGTTGTGCATTCAGAGATGTTCTTCTGCATACCTCAGTTTGAATGATTAGTTGTTTGAGTTAGTCTGGCCATTTTCCAATGACCTCTGGCACAAACAAGACATTTGCTCCCACTTTTTCAGACCTTTCTCTGTAAACCCTAGAGATGGTTGTCCGTGAAATCTCAGTAGATCAGCAGTTTCTGAAATACTCAGACCGGCCCATCTGGCACCAACAACCATGCCACGTTCAAAGTCACTTAAATCACCTTTCTTCCCCATTCTGATGCTCAGTTTGAACTGCAGCAGATCCTCTTGACCATGTCTACATGCCTAAATGCATTGAGTTGCTTCCAATCTCTTTGGCTAATTAGAAATTTGCATTGATGAGCAGTTGGACAGATGTACCTAATAAAGTGGCCAGTGAATCTCAGCTATCATTATCATCTCTCAAATTTCGAACCATTAAATACCAATATATCCAATTTACTTTTAATACACCTAATATACTTTTATATCATTTATGTAAAGCATGCTAAACAGCTCTTTGAGGAAAATCACAGATCACCAAAGCCTGTACTATCTATACCCACATAGCAAAATTTCTCTGGCCCAGCTCTGGCCCACACAATCAGGTTTTGCTTGGCCCACATACCGCTGTGAATTACGGTACATGACTGGACCAAATCTGGCTTCCAGACAAGAGCCAAACACAGACCATATCTGGGCCAAGTCTCAGCCAAGTTAATAACTCATAACTGGGCCTGAACTGGGCCAGTAAGGTTGGTGTGTCACGATTGCAATGAAATTAATAAACCTATGAAGCGTTGTGCTTTAGGCACACTATGGGCCTTGTTTTTTCTCAGTGACCTGATTGGTAGAATAAATTTATTTAATTAAAAATTATTTTTATGTATTTTAAATGTGGGTCAAGACTGGCCAAACTCACGTGGCCCACAATCAATTTTTAAAATCTGGGCCAAATACTACGTTTTACATCTGACCCAAATCTTGTGTGCCGCATTATAGACGGTGCCACCTCTGCCAAACCCAGGCCATGGTTGGCCCACATGCTGTATGCCAGTGCTGGATGAATGCCTGATGTCCCAGCTTTATGCCAAATCTGGGCCAGAATTCTTTGCTACTAGGGTAGCATGTCAGGCAAAAAGGCTTAATACCATACAAGCTTTCCACTACACGGTTATGTGCGGACCAGCTCACAAAACCAGAAAGCAAAAGCCTTACCACATATATACACACCCTAGACTCTGAATCCTTCTCACTGAAACCCAGCTTCCCTCCAGTCACCACCCTTAGTCCTCTTCAGTGGTCCCTTGATGATCAAATCAAAGATGGCACCAACTCCTAGGCCAGCTCAACCAGGAGGTCCTGAAGGTAAGCTTTAAGTTTCATTTATCCTATATAACATCCTCACGGTTCAACCTTTGACTCTGGACATCCAGGAAGCCAATAAACCCTTTCACAACTTGATAGGGCTCATAGGACCAGTATGTCAGAGGATTCCCAGTTTACTGTGTCATACAGAAAGATACTAAGACATTAACATTTGAGCAACTTCTCAATGTCTACCAGGGCAGAAGGTCTGATTTACAACAAAGTCATTGGAGTGTGGTCATCAATGCTACAAGCGGATACCCCTTCATATGGGTTGATCATTCAGAGGCAGATCAATTAAGCCACCTAATGTTGCCACTTATCCTTTCTACACTGTTGCCTCATAGCAAGATGGACACTGGTTTGAGTATGACAGGAGTGTGCAAGCTCAATCCTGGAGGGCCAGTGTCCTGCTAAGACTAGTTCAAACTTGCTTCAACACACCTCCCAGAAAATTGTAGTATATCTAGTAAGTGCTTTTTAAGCTGGTTTAAGGTTGTTTAATTAAGGTTGGAGCTAAACTCTCCAGGACACTGGCTCTCCAGGACTGAGTTTGGACACCCCTGGAGTAGGAGATCTTTCCGTATGGAGTTAGCATGTTCTTTTGGTGTTCTACATGCCATAAAAGTGATTTGGAGAAAGTACAGTGGCTCAAGTGTGTGTGAGAATGAAAGAGTGCGCAGACACATCCAAGCATTAAGGGTTAGAGTTAGTGCGCTCTCAGGGCTGGATTGTTGCAAAAAGTACATCTGCTGGTAACTGGCAGTTCATTATACTGGGGCAACCTCTAATGAAGAGGATGAAGTGATTGAGTATCTTACCTTCAATCCACGTCTCACTGCTCTGGCCATATGCTCACCTTGTTGTTTCTCCTTCTTCTAATACCTATAATCTATCTCTTTTTCCTGCTGTAGATGACTCAAATAACATCTAAAAAAAAAAAATAAATCATGTTGGATTTCCGATGATGAATACCGATTAGAATATCTCAATGATGGAAGGTTATAATCGAGAGAAAAAATTTGACCTGACAGCCATCGTAGTTGAGTAACATTGGCAAAAGCATGAAAAACTGTGAAAATGTACTTGTATGGGACAGCAGGTGTACCCAGAAAAGCTATGCAATATACAATTTCATCCTTTCCCGAAACCTAGAGAAGTGCATGAAATGAATGTTTCTGTGGATGGCCACACAATCAGCGTCAATGTCAATAAATGCCAAAGTGGTGCTCACTGCAGAGCCATTTGGGTAGAGCTGAGCTCCAGCGAGGGGGAGCTTGAGCTCTCGCTCCTCCTTGCTTGCACTTCTTCTACGAGTGATGTCACTGGGGGTAGGGTTAGGGGTGGGGTTGGTGCACTCATTAAAACAGCTTATAGGAGGAGGAGCAAGAGCTCATGCTCCCCCTCGCTGGAGCTCAGCTCTGCTCAAATGGCTCTGCAGCGAGCAGTGTCTCAAAAATGCTGCTGTCAATTGCTGAACGAATGACTCAAAACATGAGGACTCCAGACTGATGAACTAATCTTTTCTGGCACAGCTCGCCTAACTTTAGTTTATGGAGATGTGATTTGTGACTAAGCAAAATAACCAATGATGATAAACGAGATTAGATAACTTAAACTGCTAAGCCTGGACACCCAGAGGCATTGTTGTTTTGTCTGGTTGCACCAATTGCCTGTGACTATGAATTATGTTAGGAAGTCAACATAACATTTTTATTATTTTTAAATTATCCAAACTTTCCATCATTATACATGTAGGCTATAGCTTACTTGTTTTGTTTTTTTAAGTTACGCTCAAATCCTGAAAGTTTTCCTTGTTTAAATATTGCAGACCTTTTAGTCTGATTCTCTCTGAAATCAGTAGGCATTCACTTTTCTCTGCGGAGTGCACACATTTATAGAGAAGTGCCATGGCTAATACTGAAAGATTGTTGGACACAGAGAAGTGAGAAGATTGCAAAGGGTCAATATTCCAGCACCTATATAAAGAGGCAGAGGTTGTCCACATCATTGCTTCCCCAGAGTCATTAGGAGCTGCCTGAGGAAAAGTATGTACTTCACAAAACAATGCATGTCTTCTGCACCTGATCCTGCAATTCAGGAATCTGTCTCACCTGAACATTCTGTCAGGTATTGATTAAGGTCACTGCTAGTTATTGTACACTTACCCATAGGGACTTAGTTCTTACCTCCTGTCCTTCCTTGTTTATTTGCTCCTGCAAAATGAAGATGTTACTGGGTGTTCGTTCTCTTCAGCATTGTGGATTCTGTTACTTACCGGCTGTGTTGTGTTCAATAAATGCCTGTTGACCAATCACCAGTCAGTCTCCTTCTGTTGTGACAAAATTATGACAAAAAGAAGTGAGTTAGCATTAGTACTTATTATTTAATGGGTTAGTTCACCGTTTCAATCCCCTGAGACCTTCATTCATCTTCAGAACACAAAGTAATATATTTTAGATACAATTAGAGAGCTCCATCCTCCTCCATAGAATGCAACAGTTACAAGATGTTCAAGAAAAGGAACCAAAAACATTGTTAAACATTTAATGTGACTTCAGTGGTTAAACTGTAATCATACAAAGCTCCAATAAAAATTTTGTGAACCAAAAAACTGTAAAAATGATGGACAGATGTCACACTGGCCATAGTAAATGCTCACTCTGACCTGACAGAAAAGACAATATTTTAGAGAAGTTTTTATTAAAGAGTAAAACTGTTCTCTAAACTTCGTATGATTACAGATGAACCACTGAAGTCATTAAAGTCAATGATTTTGGTTCATTTTCTGGACATCTAGTGACCCTTGCTGTTTATGGAGGATAAGTGAGCCAAATCTGATCTAAAATATCTTAATTTGTGTTTTAAAGATGAACAAAGGTCTTGGGGCATTGGAACAACACAAGGATGAGTAAATAATAACATAATTTAAAGTTTGGTGTAAACTAAACTTTAAACTCATTATAATAGGTTTATAAATGTTTCACAGAGCAAACTTTATATTATTTATATAAATTATAATTTATCCATTTCAATTTTTAGAAAAATAATGTAATATATCATTTTATTTCTAATGTTTTAAAGCTTGAATTGAGCCCAAAATAATAAAATCAACATTTCCATTTTAATGTACAAAAATATATTTATAAATAGTTTTTTCTTTGATTTTAAACTACAATTATATTATCTATTCATTTAATTTTTTTATTTGAATTCAATTTACAGTGCATTCGGAAAGCACCATTTTCAGATCTCTCCAGAGATGTTCAATAGGATTTAGATCTGGGCTCTGGCTGGGCCATTCAAGAACATTCACAGAGTTGTTGTTAAACCACTCCATAGATATTTTATGCTCTGGGTCATTGTCCTGCTGGAAGATGAACCATCTGAGGTTAAGAGCACTCTGAAGCAGGTTTTCACTCAGGATGTCTCTGCACATAGCTGCATTTATCTTTCCCTGTATCCTGAAAAGTCTTACAGTTCCCGCTGCTGAAAAATATCCCCACAGCATGATGCTGCCACCACTATGCTTCACTGTAGGGATGGTATTAGCCTGGTGATGAGCGTTGCCTGGTTTTCTTCCTTCAAACATTAAGCCTGGCAATCACTCCAAAGAGTTCAATTTCAATCTCACCAGACCAGAGAATTTAGTTTCTTATGGTCTGAGAGTCCTTCAAATGCCTTTTGGCAAATTCCAGGCGGGGAGTGGCTTCCATATGGTCATTCTATTATACAGGCCTGATTGGTGGATTGCTCAACAGATGGTTGTCCTCCTGTAAGGTTCTCCTCTCTCCACAGAAGAACGTTGGCGCTCAGACAGAGTGACCATCGGGTTATTGATCACCTCCCTGACTAAGGCCCCGTTTACACTAGTGCGTTTTAGTTTTAAAACGGCGTTGTAGAATGAAAACGATCCGCGTCCACACTCGCGTTTTACCCAGCGTTTCTGAACAGATCTCCGTCCACACCAAAACGCTGAAAACGCACATCACGTGACCACACACACACTCTCGGGCAAGCGCTCCAGCATTTCTACCCAGATGAGAGCTCTGCTTGTCGGACTGCTCATCAAGCATCTCCCGCTGGATCTAATCTCACTATATTTGCTAAACGTGATATTTCATTCATGTTCTTTATCCAACGACATAGGCCAAGCTGACTTTGGTCATTGGAATCTATTAAGTTACTTGTTCACGGGTAACATGTTTTGGTTAAGCGCAAAGATAAGTTAATGATTAATCCAGGTACATTGACTGATCGCTTGCCTTTATTTCCTACAATTTATAAACTTATTGTATGTTATACTTTTATAATTATCGATTATTAAAACTGTTATTCAGCAAATTAGAGAGGGTGCGTTTCGTATTTTCACTGAAAATGGAAGGAGGCAGTTGTTATCGGCTCCGTTTTGTTATAAATATCCACAGTGAAGATGACGCTCATATATGCAGCACGACGCCTCAACATTTCTGCTGTCTGTTAAGTTGCTAATATTAAAAAGAAAATAGGCAGTTCCTTATATCATGTTTACATTTTATTGTTGAGAAAGTGAAACAACGTAGCCAAGGTGATGTGAATGAAGTTATAAAGTACACTGTTCCCTTTGAAGATTTACCGGTGTCCTCTGTATGTTTTACATATCAAACTGAGAAGGGGGAGACTGCAGCCTTGATCAAACTTGCGAAGTCTTAACTTACAAGAAGAGGATGCAAGACTGAACTGTGTGTGGGCTACTTAATATTGAGGAAAAGCCCCAATCAGAGAGGCGAACGTCAGCAGCCCCGCCTCCGTTTTCAAATGTCTCCGTCTTTCCCCATCCACACTGAGACGGAGCAGCAGCGTTTCAGAATGAAAACGGCCTTTCCAGCGTTTTCAAAAAGCTCCGTTTTCGGCGCTCGAGAACACCGGCGTAGTGTGGACGGATGGCGTAACCGTAGCAAAACTTATGCGTTTTCAAACTAAAACGCACTAGTGTAAACGGGGCCTAAGGCCCTTCGCCCCTGATCACTTAGCTTAGATGGCCGGCCAGCTCTAGGAAGAGTCCTGGTGGTTTCAGACATCTTCCACTTACGGATGATGGAGTCCACTGTGCTCATTGGAACTTTCAGAGCAGCAGAAATTTTTCTTTAACCTTCCCCAGCCTTGTGCCTCGAAACAATCCTGTCTCGAAGGTCTACAGACAATTCCTTTGTCTTCATGCTAGGTTTCTGCTTCGACATGCACCATCACCCCTGGGACCTTATATAGACAGGTGTATGCCTTTTCAAATCATGTCCAATCAACTGAATTTACCAAAGGTGAACTCCAATTAAGGTGCTGAAATATCTCAAGAATGATCGGTGGAAACAGAATGTACCTGAGCTCAATTTAGAGTTTTACGCCAAAGGCTGTGAATACTTATGTACATGTGATTTATTTATTTTTTTTATAAATTTGCAACCATTTCAAAAAATGCACTGTAACTTGAAAATGTTTTTAATCCCTAAAACCACAAATTAATCCCTACATCATTATGTTTAATAATAATATTAAAGAAAGCTTGAAATATCCATTAAAAAATTGATCAACATTATTATTTATAATCTGCACTGCATTTATATTTTTGCAATACATTTTTTTGATTTATTGATATTGCAAATGTTATAAAATGTTATATATTAATTCAAAGAGAAATTTACAAAATAAAATGCCAGTACACTATTTTTATTGCTAAATATACTGTAAATAAAAGCCACAAATAATTGAAATAAACAATTAAAACTTGAATGACCACAGAATTAGTCTTTTAAATCACCCTGACAGCATTATGTTAGCCAGTCAATACTAAGCTTCATTGCTTACCTTTGCCAAAGGAACAGCCCAATCATTAACAGCAATGATACTATGTCAGTCGCGATCCATATTCCTTTGTACATATTAGGTTCCTTTCAGACACAAAAAAACACAAAAGATTCCAGAGGTGTTGCATATTCAGACAAGCCCGAGTCAATTATAAATGAGAAAACAGCTTCACGTTTACAGCACAAAAGACACAGTGATAGGCGAAAAGATAGGTGGAGACTTACCAGATGCCAGTCAGGCTTAGACATGTCTTTGAAGAGGTGGCAGGCATTGGTGGTCACTGAACTGACCCCAGAGCACCAGAGTAATGAAAACAGCCAGCGCTCATTCACAACCCAGAGATTCACAGACACATTGCTTTTCCGCAGCTCACTGTAGAGGGTGAAAAAAAACATACAAATAAAAATGATGTCAAAACATAGGTAAACACAAATCTTGGCTGAAAATCAGGCACCTTTTTTGACAGGTCTCAACAAGTCAACATTCTGCACAATAGACAGGAGTGGCACAGCTGTTTTAACATGCAGTCGTATTCATCAGTCAAGCTTTTCTTGTTCAATTTGATTATTTCTTCATCTTTACTGTCAGGGAAAGTTTTAAAATGACAGGTGCATCCATGTGTTGATAATTGCCAACCCGGCATTCCTGATACTATAATCATTAGTAGATACATCAGAGAGTTTAAACTAGAGATCTCACAGGATCATTTTTTTCCACAGCATTTCTGTCATCTTGTAAGAAAATGAGAATGTTCCCTAAGGCTGCAAGATCATACTAACATTAAATGGCAGCTGCTTCAAGTCTCTGCATGTGAAATAAGCCACACTCAATTTTCCACTTTATTAATCTACCTTATTTCAAGCGCACTAAGTGAACTGAAGTTCATATTCATGAAGTTTCCACCGTCCATAAGCATTTCCTTTTGCTTATTATACACCTGCTTGAAGCCTGGTTCCATCTTCATCACGTCGTGTCTATATTCTGGGGGAAGCCACCATATCTGAAAGAAATGCATAACATTCAAATATTGTAAATGAGGAAAATGTACACACAACAAAAAGTAAAGCATGAACACTTTCGGATAAAGAACAGCAGCATCAATACAATTAAATTGTTACTTAGGTTGTAATGTTAAAAATGGTAATATTTTGTTGCCATGTGAACTACAGAAATATTATTTTATGCAAGCAGAGATGCCATGCGTATGTTGTGTTTAAGTCTATTGGTGTGCACAAACCAAAGCACAATGGCGGTCAACAAAACATATACATATAGATACATATACACTTGTCACTTTATGTGCACTGGAAGCTTCTGTAGCCAAAACAAATTCCTTGTGTGTGTGTGTGTGTGTGTTTGTGTAGCAAACTTGGCAATAAAACCGATTCTGATATAGACAACTGCCCAGCAGCCACATAACATAATAAGACGTTAATAATAGGTTAGATTTAGGTCGTGATGTCAGGTGATTAAAATTTAATGTCTAGCCAGCATCTAAGGACAGCGCTATTTTGACGTCCAATAGTGTCATCAAATGACATTAATATTTGGTTGATTTTAGGTTTTGTTGGAGTGACCAAAATCCAACATCGAGATCCAACATCTTAAACCAACGGAATACTGACAATTATTCATCAGGTATAGCATTCAAAATCCAACATCTGATAGACATCATAGTCATAATGTCCACACAATGTCAAGCTAAAGACGTTTGGTTGATTTTAAGTTGGATATTGAAATCGGCCTGATGTTGGGTTCTGACGTCAATATGATTTTCAAATTCCAAACAAAATGCAACATCCCCACGATTTTGGGGTACAACATCAATCTGACATTATGTTAAACGTCCTGCGCCTGCTGGGTGATTTCATAATTATTTGACTAATAAAATAACATTAAAATAAGCATTTATTAGCCAAAACCAAGGTGAATAATGATAAATTGTGCATGCATTGATACAATATATCTTGGGTGTTAGTGTTGTTAACAATACACTACCAACTTCTTGGTGCTTATCCAAGTTTTAAAAACAACAAATAATAACTGGACTTCTAGTTGATCATTTGGTATCAGAAGTGGCTTATTTAAAGTTAAGGGCCTCTGGATTTTGCTTATTTTAACCCAAAAAAAATCTGATCGGGCTGAAATATGAGAAGGAGCGCTATCCTGCTGAAGAATTAACCCTCTCCTGAGGTTTGTAATGTAAAGGCATCACAAATGTCTTGATACCTCAGGCTGTTGATGTTGCCATACACTCTGCAGATCTCTCGCATGCCTCCATACTGAATGTAACCCTAAACCATGATTTTTCCTTCACCAAACTTGACTGATTTCTATGACAATCTTGGGTCCATGAGGGTTCCATTAGGTCTTCTGCAGTATTTGTTATGATTGGGATGCAGTTCAAATGATGATTCATCAGAAAATACAACCTTCTGCCACTTTCCCAAAAGATCAACTAGAAGACAAGATATTCTTTGTTGCTCTTACAACTGGGATCAATGACAAGACGTTTGTCAGGTAGTATATGTAAGCGTGTGGTGCAGTGATCGATTATAGCTGTGCTTTATTGTGAATAAAACACAGCTACTGACCAATCAGTATTAAAGAATGGAACTAGCTGTCATAAAAATGTCAGTATTACCTTGTCAGGTGAGATGCCTAATTTATTGATCGTTTCAGTGGTGTAGAAGGAGTCACTGCTTTGAAATACCGTTGAGTTGTTTTCATTTTTCAGGTCAAATATGAGGGATACATTATGTTTTTTGACCAGGTCTAAGAGCTCAGAAAGAGATGGCACTGTCTGGTTGTCAGCTTCCCTCCTCTCTTCCTCTGAAAGTGATGACAGAGTCCAAAATGGATCCGACTATATTAGAAAATCAAAAGGTTTCCTTAAAAAAGTTATTTTCTCGTCATACTGCTAAAAGGATAAAAACAGGTGTCTGGAAATCTCTAATCAAGAGAGAGAAAGAACTTGTGCTGCTAATATAACATAACATAATATAACGTAACGTAACGTAACATAATATAATATAATATATAGTGTTGCAAAAGTAAACGATGAAAAAATAAAAAATTACAGATAAAAAAATATACACAATTCTTTGTCCTCACCCTTGAAAACCATTTGCCTGCATTTAACGTTTTTAACTCTTGCAATGTGAAGTTGTTGCTTCCATCTCGACCTGGAAACTTATCCTTTACATCAGTTGTTCGCAGCAGAAAATTCTTACCACAGTCATGCATTAAAAATGGCTTCTTGTCCTTACTGAAAAAAGACAGACAACAGCATTAAATAATACACACACAAACAAGTTGCAGTAAGTGTCAAGCACTTCTTAACAGAATCTGTTACCTAAGTTGCACATCTGTTTCAAATGCCACCACACCAAACTCAAGACTCTTCCTGAAGGACATCAAAGTGTTCTCTGGAGCCAGCTAAACAATTAACACATAATGTCAAAAAACAACAACTTAACAGCTTGTTAATGCAAATGTAGAATCAGTAAATCACGTGACAGTATTTAGGTATGCAGATGTGGTTATGATGCTCTGCTGAAGTTTAAACCAGCTATTAAAAATAATGAGAAGAAAGGTGACATGTTTGTGGAAAGAATGAGCTGGTCTGGGTATTCAGAAACTGCTAATTCAGGATTTACACCACAGAGAATACAGAGAAAATAAAACGTATATAAGAAAATTTAATATACAGATTGGCAGTTTTGGGAGAGTTAATGAGGTTAAATAAAACAGATTCAATATAATAAAAAGGCTAAAGACGCTCAAATAGACTCGAATCATCTGTTTTGAGTTTGTTGCTGACCATCAGAGTCCTTTTATGAGCACGCAATGTACTCATCTTGTGATGCCATCATGCCACACTGCTTAAATCCTCTCAAACTTCTTTCTTGATAAGGAAAATAGCCCCTTTCACTCGTAAATATCTGTAATTTTTTGGGAAAGTCTATATGTGTGAAAAGAGCTAATAATTGCATTAGCTCTAGTACCTGGTTGAATCAATGGCTTGTTAAACCAAATTGTATTACATTTGTCGAATCAAATTAAATCACCTCTTCGAATCAAATTGAATTACCTTCTAAATCGAATTGAATCGCAATGTTGAATCAAATTGAATCACCTTCTAAATCGAATTGAATCACAATGTTGAATCAAATTGAATCACCTTCTAAATCGAATTTAATCGCAATGTTGAATCAAATTGAATCACCTTCTAAATCGAATTGAATCACAATGTTGAATCAAATTGAATCGCCTTCTAAATCGAATTGAATCGCAATGTTGAATCAAATTGAATCACCTTCTAAATCGAATTGAATCACAATGTTGAATCAAATTGAATCGCCTTCTAAATCGAATTTAATCGCAATGTTGAATCAAATTGAATCACCTTCTAAATCGAATTGAATCACAATGTTGAATCAAATTGAATCACCTTCTAAATCGAATTTAATCGCAATGTTGAATCAAATTGAATCACCTTCTAAATCGAATTGAATCACAATGTTGAATCAAATTGAATCGCCTTCTAAATCGAATTGAATCGCAATGTTGAATCAAATTGAATCACCTTCTAAATCGAATTGAATCGCAATGTTAAATCAAATTGAATCACCTTCTAAATCGAATTGAATCGCAATGTTGAATCAAATTGAATCACCTTGTCAAATCAAATTGTATTACATTTTGTCAAACCAAATTTATCACCTTGTCGAATCAAATTGTGTTACATCAGTCGAATCAAATTGATCACATTGTCGAATCAAACTGATCACCTTGTCGAATCAAATTGATCACCTTGTCGAATCAAACTGAATCACCTTGTCGAATGAAATTGATCGGCATGTTTAATAAAATTGATAACCTTGTCAAATCAAATTGATAGGTGGTTTCGACTTCATGCATCACTGCACAGACCGATATCTAACCGGCATCTTAAAGCGGTGCATGCCAGTTAGAAATTTTGTCCAACATTGATGCTGCGTCGATGCCACGTTACTGTCACGTGTGGCATCAAAGTACCGCGACAGCCCTACGAGATCAGACGACTGATTCAGCCGGTGCAGCATCTGAAGAACGACTGTAGGAGCTGCGAGGACGACACTTTCAAAACACACAACTTTTTTTACCATCTCTATCTTGTACAGATCATGCTTAATAAAACACGACAAATATTTTACTGCAAAATCATCTTTTGTTAAATAATTTGTTTATAATGACTAGATTGATTCCATTGGTTTATTCTGCCTTTTTTATACAAACTATGTACTGCATTCAGCTCCATAAATAATTAAATTGATAAACAAATTTAAACCCTTTTTTAGCATATTAAAACAAGAATTGGTAGCCTAAAGAGTGATGTTTAAACTCCTAGAATTTGTCCTTATTGTTTTGTATTTAATAGGCCTATTAGTTTTCGTTTATATTACCCTCTCGTTTCTCCTTATTTCTGTCATGTGTTTGTTATATGTTTAATTCATAATTCAAAAATGAACTATAGCTTGTAGAGACTGTATTCTGTTTTATTTGTACTGTAAATCTTTTGTAGTTATAAAAAATTTTTTTTAAATGATAATTATGCCATGTGATAGATTATCATGACTGCCACAACTTTGGAAGTGTCCCGTTGTGCGGCCGTTTTCAACTCCGTCCCCGCCTGCACTGGGCTAATCTCGTAGATCACCAGCTGCAGCCATAATTTAAGTCGAATGCACCTGATCACTTTGTCCAATCAAATTGAATCACATTGTCAAACAAACTGACCACCTTGTTGAATCAAATTGATCACCTCGTCTAATCAAATTGAATCACCTATTAAATCAAATTGAATCATCTCATCAAATCAAATTGAATCACCTTGTCAAATCAAATTGAATCCCCTTGTCAAATCTAATTGAATCACCTTATCAAGTCAAACAGAATTACATTTGTTGAATTAAATTGATAACCTTGTCGAATCAAACTAAATTACCTCATCAAATCAAATTGAATCATATTGTCAAATCAAACTGAATTCAATTTGTTGAATCGAATTGATCACCTTGTTGAATCAAACTGATCACCTTGTCAAATCAAATTGAATCACCTTGTCAAGTCAAACTGAATTACATTTGTTGAATTACATTGATAACCTTGTCGAATCAAATTGAATCATCTTTTCAAATCACACTGAATCATCTTGTCAAATGAAATTGAATTGCATTTGTTGAATCAAATTGATCATCTTGTCAAATCAAACTAAATTGTGGTTTTTCTGAAGCAAAGCGAGCCCTAACTAGTAGCAGAAAGGTGTACTTATTAAAGTGCATACATGGTGTACACATCCATCCACTATATAAGTTTAATTTTATGTTACTCCAGCAGAATACATGTTGTTTTGTCAATAGTATTTTAAAAAATAAATATATGTTCAGTGCTCTGGTATAAACACAAAGTAATTCAAAGCTACTGCATCTGTGTTCTTCACACGCCTCTGTTTTTATTCACAGTTAACCTCCAATCTCCTGGTGAGCAGAGGAGGATCAAACCCACAGAGCTTCAGATGTCAAAACACCTCCTCCACCTTCCCTGCCAGTGGAATTTAACAGGTTGTGTTTGAATTGTAGATCTTCAGCCATTCGACTCATCATTCCGGAAAGGGACTAGATGCTTTGCAATGACTGTAAATCTTTGCACTGCGATTAGTGAATCTATAAATTGCTAATGCTCAAAAAACTGTTTCAACATTTATGAGCAGACTGACATGCTAATGAATTATATTCCCCCAAGTTGATAGCTTACAACCTGGGAACCATGCCATAATCATTATAATCCTAAACGGATTCAGAAACTACAGCAGATGATTCATTCTGTAGCATGTCAAATTTGGTTTAATGGTGAAACCCTCATGCGGCTCAGCAACGACATGAAGGAACAGCAAAAGCGAGGTTTTGATGGATATGCCAGTGTAAACATGAGCTAATACACGTTTTAACAAAGGCAAAGTAGCGCTTTAAATTCAAAGTTACAACTAAAAGTGTGAAAATCTTACCATGGGAGCACCGCGATGTCCAATGAGGGCAGGTTTTGGGGGCAGATTACTGGTAATGCATGGAGAGCAGATTGCAAGAGGACACAGGAACACAGCAGCGGACACAACCAGGAAGGTCATCATTATGAAAATCTTACAAGCTATATAGAAAAAGACAAACATAAAAGTATTTACACACTGACAGAATTCCCCAAATAAAGTACAAGATAAAGCATAATAAAAGTTCAACCTCTTTTTTACTACTTTTAGATTACCGTTGACCTAATTAATGTAATTTATCACAGTTCTAAATAAAACTGTGAGAAGAAAATACAATTTATTCATAAATTTTCCTTTAGTTTAGTGCCTATTTATTAGGGGTTGCAACAGCGGAATGAACCACCAATTTATTCAGCATATGTTTTACACAGCAAATGCCCTTTCAGCTGCAACCCAGTACTGGGAAACATCCAAACACACTCATTCACACTCATACACTACGGCCAATTTAGTTTTTTTAATTCACCTGTACCGCATGTCTTTGGACTGTGGGGGAAACTGGAGCACCCGGAGGAAACCCATGCTAACAAGGGAATTACCCATGCCAACATGCAAATTCGGCACAGAAATGCCAACTGACCCAGCCAGGACTAGAACCAGCAACCTTCTTGCTGTGAGGTGATAGTGCTAACCACTGAGCCACCGTGTCGCCCTTACATAAGTCAGTGTCGAGTTTTTCAAACTGTGGTTTACTAAGGATCTGCTTGGCGTACATCAGCCTTTAAAAAGCTCCATATTCAATCATAATAATGTAGAATTTAAATAATAAATTAATTAATATATGAAAACAAACATACATATTTTTTTTCTATACATGAAAAGACATCTAGACCAGTGGTTTTCAACCTGTGGGTCGAGGCCCCCCAGTGAGCCGTGGAAGTGTTGCATGGAGGCCGCCATCAGATACATATTTTTGCACTATATGCTGTTTTGCATGAGCACAACTCAGGTTTGCACTCCTTGCCATGTACCCTTAAGTGTATTTGTATTGTTTACAATTTTTATTTTGGGTCACACTTTATTTTGTTGGTCCGTTTGTTGAATTTAAGTTACATTGCATCTACTGTATCTACATTCCAGCTAATTCTCATTAGATTATACTGTAATTAGACTGTTAGGTTGGGGTTGGGGTTAGGGTTAGTGTACGTTGACATGTACTTGCAGAGTTTCTTAAATGTCTGTTTAGTAGCAGTCTCAACAGATATTAAGCAGACAACCTACTAATACTCAAATGAACCTTGTACTTGTACTTTTAGATTATATTATAAGTGAAATTGTATTTATTGTAATTTATTTTTAAAATTCTACTTATTGTAGTAATATTATCTGTTAGACAACTATAATCTGACTTTAGCTGGCTTTACCTGTGACTTACTGTATTAACAGTAGAAATAACATCGTTAAAATTTGAAAAGCCATCTAGACATAATTTGATGTGTGAACAAAAAATTAATAATAAATTGCCACTATGCATTCACTACTCATTTAAATTGATTGCTTTAATGACACTCCAGTATAAACCATTTCTTGCTGAATACAAAAAGTTAAAGTTAACAGCGGGTTCATCCGTGAAACATGTCTCATTACTTTTATGTGTTTCATATAACATTTTTGACTCACTGTCATTTTAACAATTTTTGACCTTTTTTACTTAACTAAAAATTATGTTTATGAAATAAATTGTTTACATTTACCTTTTACCAACCCTCCAGATTTTGTCCATTCAAAAATCTAAGTTTCATTAACAATAAGGAAGATTGCAATTTCCATTTCATGATGACTTCAAGTATTAATGTCACTAAATTTAATGAACCATTCTTAAAGTGCATGCATTATCTTAATACAGAGCATAAATTATAAAATTGTTACTTCCATACCTAAACGCTAGTGTTTTATTTTTGTGCGCGAATGTTTAACTGCCATGTAATATGCAAGAAAACGTAAAGACAGAAGAGAGAATTTTTGATTCAGTGTACAGCAGGCGTGTCCAAACTACGGCCCGCGGGCCATCTGCGGCCCGCAATCAGTTTTGTGGCGGCCCGCGAGGCTTTTTATAAATATCAATAGAATCTGGCCCGCTATACAAAAATGAACGTAATTCAATAAATAACCACCGGGTGTCGCTATTACATGCATTCAATTAAGCAGCAGTTCTTGTTATGATCTATCTATCAATCTATCTATCTATCTATCTATCTATCTATCTATCTATCTATCTATCTATCTATCTATCTATCTATCTATCTATCTATCTATCTATCTACACACAGTTGAAGTCTGAATTATTAGCCCCTCTTTGATTTATTTCTTCTTTTTTAAATATTTCCCAAATGATGTTTAACAGAGCAAGGACATTTTTACAGTATGTCTGATAATATTTTTTCTTCTGGAGAAAGACTTTTGTTTTATTTCGGCTTGAATAAAAAGCGGTTTAAATTTTTTTATGAACCATTTTAAGGTCAAAATTATTAGCCCTTTAAGTCTTCAGAACAAACCATTGTTATAAAATAACTTGCCTAATTACCTTAACTTAACTAGTTAACTTGATTAACCTAGTTAAGCCTTTAAATGTCACTTTAAGCTGTATTGAAGTGTCTTAAAAATATCTAGTCAAATATTATTTACTGTCATCATGGCAAAGATAAAATAAATCAGTTATTAGAAATGAGTTACTAAAACTAATATGTTTAGAAATGTGTGGAAAAAAAATCTTCTCTCCGTTAAACAGAAATTGGGGAAAAAATAAACGGGGGCTAATAATTTAGGGGGGCTAACAATTCTGACTTCAACTGTATTTATATATATATATATATATATATATATATATATATATATATATATATATATATACATATATATATATATATATATATATATATATATATATATATATATACACGTGTCTGTGTGATGTATGTAAAATTTGGCCCGCAACAACATTTGTCTTTTTGCATCTGGCCCTCGGCCCAAAAAGTTTGGACACCCCTGGTGTACAGTAATTATAAGCTGTGATGAAGCAAAGTACTGACCAGTTGTTTTAGCTCTATGATAGCTCTGGAAGACGAGGCAGCTGATCACAGTTAATGCCACCACAGCACTCAGCTGCAGGAAAGGAGCAGTAGCCTACGGCAAACAAAAGATACATTTTCATATTCATACAGTACAATAGTGCTGTAACAGGATATGGACACCTCAGTGTCAGTTTTAGGATAAAAACAGTATAATGTAACATTACGATAGAGAGATGGTTTAATATAATATCACAGTGTCTGTTGTAATAGATGAGCTAACATGGCATACAATAAGATCCAGCTGCAAAGGCACAAAAGACAGAGGCTGAACTATTACTAAAATGATGAATGGCTAAAAACCTGAAAGGACATGTAGATGGCTTTCCACTGCTTCTCCCATTTGAAACAAAATCCAGCTGTTTCCAACGTAACAGCGAGGAGACCCAAAAACAGAAACACCTGAACAGAAAACAGAGAATCATTAACACACTGAGAGATCATTCATTAATATCTGCCATGAACCGCCTTTATGCACTTACTTTTAGCTGGCTAACTGTGATCTAAAGTGTTACCAATTTTTAAAGGTAACCACTTTAAGATTTTTTCCCACATGAGCCCTTTTAAATCTAATTAATGATGATTTCATAGTTAGCCTTTTATATGTCCTGATGAAAGCATTTATACAAAAAGAAATGCTCTAAAAAACACTACTGTCTCACTGAAAAAAACAAGTAATTTGACAAATAAATGAACTGTGGCGAAATTAAGCTATAATAGCCATACTCCTACTTTTAAAGAACAATAAATAAAGAGTTTCTCTGCAAAAACACTTATCCCTGTTATTATTGTTTTTCATAAATCATGTTGGGGACAATAGCCTCAGGGGCAGTGCACCAACAAACGGCGCCATTGCGCTTTGGGTGTCCTGAGTTCAAGTCACAGCTTGCAGACCATTCCCGATCACATCCCCCATCTCTCTCCCCAACTTCACTTCCTAGCTACACACTGTCCTATCATAAGTAAATAAAATGTTAATAATAAATCTTAAATAAAAAGAAAAACTTACACTTAAAATAATACCTGTTTATTTAAAAAAGCTAATAAATATGATTGTTTTTTGCAAATGTACTCTGCAATGCACAATAAAAAAAATATTCATGAAAATAAACACAAAATGATTTATGGAAAAAACACGGTTTTCTGTTTCACTTTTCTGTTTAGCACAATTTTAGAAAATATGATATTGAGATGGACAGCCTGTGGTACAAATCTCTATACACATCTATATAAAATAATATTTGCAATTATACATTACCGGTCAAAAGTTTGGGGCATTTTTTTTTCATTTTTTTTTTTTTAAAGAAAATTAGTCTGTTCAGCTGAATATTTTAAATGTAAAAGAAAATAATTGTTAAACACTTATTTATTAAATATTTATTACAATTCTTATTGTATGTAGTTTCAAATAAAATTAAAATAATTAATAATAAGAATAAGAATAATCATAACCATAATCATAAATTATAATCATAATCCTTATCATAATAATAATAATAATAATAATAATAATAATAATAATAAGGTGATTTCTGAAAGATCATTTGACTCTGAAGACTGGATTAATGAAGCTAAAAATTTGTCTTTAAAATCTAATTTAAATCATTAAATTAAATGTTATATTACTTTTGAAGAGTTATTTTATAGCAGCCTAATGCAACCTTGGTGAGCAGAAGAAGCTTATTTTAAAACATTTAAAAATCACACTGACCCCAAACTTTTAACCGGTAGTGTATGTATCTATACATGAAGCGTATTTAAAACAAACAAAAATTTATCATACTTCAAAATATATATCTAACTGTTTTTAAGGTTGACTACGTGTTTAACATGGTCATTATATAGTAAATAGGAAAAAAGAGGGCGTTTACCTTATGCAGACAGTGTAAATTCAATGGTTCTTTGATGGCTAGATGTAGCAATCCAAATACCTGAAATAAATGAAGAATGATCTCAGTGGAGCAACTATTACTGTTTATATAAATGCTACCCACTGAGCAGTCTGGTTACAATTATGCCCTACTTACCAGTAAAAGCAAGCAGTATATGGCAAGCACAGCTGAAATGATCATCACTATCATGTACCAGTTCACCCATTTTTTCACTGCTTTGAAGAGTTCACTGCAGAAGAAAATTAAGCATAACAACACAATCAGTTATTACATTCACTCTCAGAAACAGCAGGTCAGTGGATTAATGATGCGGTCATGCACCTTGTTTGTTTCATACTCATGTGAGGAACCATATATAACTTCATATACCCACTATAAATATTTGTAATTATGTTCCTACCTATCTGCATACCTCTGATAATTAATCACAACCTGTACATATATTCATCCTTTGTAAATCTGTAGATGATAACTATTTATAGTTAATACAACCTGTATATAATGCTCATAGTACATCCATCTGTAAATATCACCATAGTTTTTCTATAATTGGGCTTTATAAGTTATACCTATGTCCTGCACTTGCTGCTATTGCATTCCTGGTTAGACCTAAATTGCATTTCGTTGCCTTATACATGTGTAATGACAAAAGTTGGATCTAAACTAATCTGATATACATTGCAATTTATTTCCAAATCTAATATCCATTGACAATGTAATTTACATTTTTAAGCTATATAAGTTGAAAAATTCTGTAAAAACCTACCAGGTTTTCAACCAATGACGACTTTAGTGAGTCCTCAATTTTAAATATAAAATTAGTTAATATAACAAATTAATATAAAACATTAATATTAATTTTGATTTATATTAATATAATATAGTTAATATAATAAAGTTTATATAAATTAATTTGAAGCATAAGACTAAGATTTCAACCCTTTTTTGGACTGTTTTTAGAGTTTTTAATCATGAGATTAGAACAAAAATATAATTATCATAGGTATAAATTAGAGTTTGTGCCCACATCTAGCTACAGATTCCCAAAACCCTATGCAAAACTTGCAACACAATGTTATAGCAGTTCATAACTATTTCAAGTTTTGACAAATAAGTGGCTAATTTGGACTCTAATCTGTCATTGGCAAGCTAATTTAGGTTTTCATAAGATCTCCTTATACAATATTAATGTTATGTGCTTAATTTTTTCTTAAAAGTCTTACAATTTCATTTGATTGTTTATACATTCATTTATTTTATTTTCAGCTTTTTCCTTTATTAATCTGGGGTTGCCACAGCGAAATGGACCGCCAACTTATCCAGCATGTTTTTACGCAGCGGATGCCCTTCCAGCTGCAACCCATCAGTGGGAAACATCCATTCGCACTCATACACTACTGACAATTTAGCCTACCCTATTCACCTGTACCGCATGACTTTGGACTGTGGGGGAAACCGGAGCAACCGGAAAAAACCCACACGAATGCGGGAGAACATGCAAACTCCACAAGAAATGCCAACTGACCCAGCCGAGGCTTGAACCAGCGACCTTCTTGCTGTGAGGCAACAGCACTACCTACTGCGCCACCACGTCGCCTTCATTTGATTGTTTAAATTATTACTAAACTAAAAACTATCCTGCAAGATCAGGTTGCAAACTATAGTGCTCGGCATAAACAAGTACACCCCCTTTTAAAAATGAATATTTTAATCAATTTCTCAGTGAATACAGCCAATATATTTAGGTGCATTTAAACAAAAGAGTTTTATTAAAAAGTTATACCTATTAAAATTAGATTTTGGTCGCATAACATCTTCAGTATTAGAAATATAAAACATTTAAATTCAATTAAGTTTTTGCAGAAATAAAATACTAAACAACATATTATATTATATTATATTATATTATATTATATTATATTATATTATATTATATTATATTATATTATATTATATTATATTCATTCTCTTTTTGGCTTAGTCCTCTTATTAATCTGGGGTCGCCACAGCGGAATGAACCGCCAACTTATCCAGCATGTTACGAAACACCAATATAGTGGGCTAAATATCAACTTATAAATGGCCCTAGGAGTAAGTGAGAGTAAGTAAATGCACAAATATATTATTATACAATCATGCTATAGATCAGTGGTTCTCAAACGTTTTTCATCAAGTACCACCTCAGAAAAAAATTGTCTCTTCAAGTACCACCAAAATGAGCAGTATTGAAATACAGTAGCGTAGTAGGCCTAGTAAAGCAGCTACAACTCTGCACAGTTAAAAAACATGGCAGATTACCTCAGAAATATAGGCTATATGTCATATATGGCATATTATATACATCATTTTTGATAAATTTTGAAATGTGTGTAGCATGTACATGACATTTCCTTCCTCTGCGTACCACTAGAAGGAAGCCTGAGTACCACTAGTGGTACACGTACCACAGTTTGAGAACCACTGCTATAGATGTTTTAATATTATTATAATACTAATTAATTATGTTAAGATTATTTTAAAAGAGAGATTCTGAGATCCATGAGGGTAGACTCACATATGAACGTATTTTATCTTAAAAATTGTGAAATTCGCTAAAAGATAACTTTGAAACACAACAGTTTTAGCCCATATGATGATCAAAGGAGTTATAATAAAATAAATCACTCTTATCATTTGGAGGCTGCATTTAAAAAGGCATTTTAGGGCTACATGAGCTGTCTTAATTTAAATGTGCATGGCGCCTCAGAATATTGTGGTTTAATTAGCATAATGTGAAAGTGTGTTTATGTTCTCACTTGTTTACATCGTAGTGGTCGTTGAAGGCGATAAAACAGATGTACATCCAGCTCAGGGCAAGTATGGACACAAAAGACAGAAATGAGAGCCAGCAGCGATCACTCTACAAACAAACACAGACAAAACAAGAACGTACAATTCAAACATGTCTGCTTTTCCTTCTCTTAATCCAACAATCATTGACAGATGTTTAGGCGTTAAAAGGAGAAGGTTTCGATATTCCCTCACAGCTCCACCTCTGTGCGTGTGATGGTTTACCGTTGTGGATTAGTCATAAAAACTAAGCCTGGGGAGTATTGGCACGAAGAGTTTTGCTTAATGATAGGAATATTCAAAAGTGGAACCTGTCTCAGAGTTGTTCCTACGATGGCTGATTATTACTAGTTCATCCCACACAAGATTTTAGAAATCTCTGAATACCGTGGTGATTGTTTCTGACACAAATCAAAATAAGTGAGAGAGCCTCGCTTTTTGTACTCAGCCTGCTAATTAGCATACTTATCTGCCTGACATCAGATTGTTAGTCTCCACTCACTTAAAAGAGAAGAGCATTTACATGATAATTGTTCATTAAGAAGGCATTCAATGGCAGCAGTTTTGTTTTTTTGATTCTGGTCTACATATTCCGCCTCTCTCAAACAATTGTGTGTAATAAAAAATAATTGAAACAAGTGTGAAAACTGGCAGAACTGGTAAGAGTTGAATAGCTAATAACATGTCTTTTAATTGCTGACTTTTAATTATTAAAACATACTGGCCATATTTATTTTGTACCAGCCAAGAAACTATGCATATTACAGCATTATGTAAAAGTGTAATTAAATATAATGAGAAACTTAGGCAGAACCAGCTGAAATATGTATATGAAAAGCGAATGAATTAAATTATTTTAGTAATTATTTTTAATACTAGTTTATATAACAAATTTAAAATGGCAGAAATGCCAACTGTCCCAACCGGGAGTCGAACCAGTGACCTTCTTGCTGCGAGGCAACAGTGCTAACTACTGAGTCACCATACCGCCTTAACAAAGATCAATTGTGCTTAATTATTTAATCCAATGAAGACTATGTAGTGTTAGTTTACATTTGATAATTGAAGCTCTTTCAACTTCAATACAGTTAGACTTCAGCACAAACCATAAAGCCTTGTTTATTTTATTTTTATCTTTGTTTTGTTGTTTTCATCTGATTTATTTTGTATATTTTATGGAGATGAACTCCCCTACAAATCATTTTAATCAACCTTAACCTTATTCTTTATGTATGAGCGGGCGGACTTCCGGTCTTATTCACTTCCATTGATTTTTAGAGGTTAAAAACAGCTTGTTCTGCTGCTTGATGTTGCAAATTGAAATTTCCTTATTATATTATTCTACTTTTTTATGTATAGTCATTAACCCACTTGTTTGTAGAGCAAGTAGTATGACCATTGAAACCCTTAAAGTTTGTTTAATGGTTTGTTTAAAATTGTTGGCTAGGTTTAAGGAAGTGGGTGGGTCAATCAATACAATTGTTGGGTTCAGGGAAGTAGAAGGGTGGATCGGTTGATTGGTCAATAAAGGCTGATTTATACTTCTGTATCAAGCGCACACGTATGCCACAGCACTGACGCATAGCCCTACGCCGTGGCCGTCGGCGTCGCTGACGTGCACCTCTCAAAAAATGTAACTACATGTCGCAACGACGCGTAGTGCAAGCTCTGTGATTGGTTGGCTTGGTAGCGCTGACAAGTCTGGGCGGGACCAAGAGCCGCACAAGCGGCGCAAGCCCAATGGAGCGATTGTTTACAAGTGTGGAGAGCCGCGCAGGAGCTGCGAATGTAAAGTTTTGTTTTGTGTTTACCTCATAGTTAAAGTTGTTGCACGTCTGCCGGTTCCTGCCTCAATTGAGCGAGTTTGAGCCACTTGTACATCCCGGAAGCGTTCAGAAAGAGCAAAAGCAAAACACAGGCAAATAAACTCAACACAAAGACGCATTAACACCTCACTGCCAACTAGCTTTTTGGAAGTGTTAATTCAGACCAACAGTGACAGCGCGCAGAAGTATAAATGCACAGCTATGTGCGTTGCATGCGCCGTTGGTTACGCCGGTAACTTGATGCAGAAGTATAAACCAGGCTTTAGTCAGTTAGTCAGTCAGTCGACAGTGGCCACTGGTGGGTTTAAGGGCAGTATGTGTGAATGGCACTCGCAAGAGAAATTTAAGATATCAAAAAGCGTACACAGCAGCCTCTAGTGGATTTGCAAAAAATACTGCCAAAAAACTTAGCTACTGGGACGTATTTGGTGCTCTCCAGTAATGGATAAAGAGGTACGTTTTCGGAATGAGCCTGGGTTGCAAAAACGATCGCATTTCCACATTGAAAAATAAGGTCAATAAATTGAGGATTGTTCCAAATAGGATCATTTTGCAATATTTTATACATATCGCAATTTATATTTATAATAAATGCAGAAAAACTAAATATCGCAATGTCAGTTTTCCCAGTATCATGCAGCCTTAACTTCAGCACAGTGTTTAATATTGAATAATTGCTTAAAGCAAAACTACGCTATAAATCATTGTTCGAATTTAATGTCTCTGACGAAACTCACTAACACATACTTCTACTCAACTTTGTAGATAACTGAGTGCTCATTTTGGTCCCTGCTAGGGCTGGGCGATAAATCGGGTTCTAGGGATATATCGATATGATTCCCCAACGCGATGCAGTATTATCCAATATCGATTATGTCGATTTGGTTTGAGGCCACACATGCACACTCTGCGTGAAACACCACTCCAAGGTAGAACGCGAGCTCCACTTGCACAAATGTGCACATGCGCAAATGAATGATTTACTCCCTGAGTCACACGAAAAGATTTGTTCAAAAAGAACGAATCATTCAAGAACAACCCATCGCTTACGCAACATGGAAGAACATGCAGTGCCTGTGTTGTATCGAAATCTGACTCCCCCTCGTGTGCACGCACGTCACACAGCGCCTGCAGCTATCAAAACCTTTTTTCGATCATTCGCAATTGACAGCAAGAACGAACATAGAAGCCTTGTCAAAGTGACAAGCAGCATTTAAATGTGTTCAAAAGAATTAAAAGCGCCAAAATGGGACGAATGTATACCGCATTTAGAAAGTGAAACCACCTCATATTCACCAATTATAAGTTCAGTATTTATTACACGACGGTCTGTTCTTCGCATTTCTCTCCTCTGTTATAATGACTGTTTACATTTATATGCTTAACCAGTATTTCATCACAGTACTCTAAAAACAATTTCGTTACTTCTCAGATCTATAGCCTATTCATTTTTATCTCATTTAATATTTAGTAATACAAGTTTAGCCAAAACAAAAAGAAAAAGTGTAGTTTTTTTACATGGAGTGAAAGACTTATCTTTAGATATCTTCGATATGTGCACTGTTTAATAATTCTGCACAATACATACATGTAAATGTGTAACTAAAAAACATATACGGCTGAATCAATTGTTGTTTAATCATCATAAAATACTGTGCGTTTCATCTTTACATTCAATGTGGGTTTTTTTCTATCCTACAATATTTTTTGTTGTTACTAGTGTTGCTTTTTTGCTCTGACAATGTAGCTCTGTTTTCTATGGCTCTATTTGCTTTGTTATTTGCACAGCAGCACAGTAGAGCTGTGTATAGAGTTAAACAGTAAAAAAATCCTGCACTGTATTAACTTATCAAAGAAAATTTAAAATGTTGTGCAACAGTTTTAAGCAGCAGAAAAACCTGTACTGTACTTTATTTATCAAAGATTTTTGTGCAGCTGTTATTTTTTGTGCAGCTGTTTATTAGTAAACAGGGAGGGAAACTGCTGTATTTGAATTATATTTTGCTAAAAAAAAAACAGTTTAATAGTTTTAAAAAAGGCTTTAACTCAGTCAAATGGTTAAGTAACCATTTATGGGAAAATACCGGATATCTTATATCGTCATTTCTTCTAAAAATACCAGGATATGACATTTTGGCCATATCACCCAGCCCTAGTTCCTGCCTGCAAATTACACTAAGAGAGAATGGATGCATCACTTTTTTGACCTGAATTAACTCACTTTTTGTTCATTACTTCTCTGGTTCCAGTGGCAACTGTAGATCCCTCTCAGGCAGGTTCGAAACATAGTGATCATTGTGTTTTTCCCACATCAAATGATTCCAGCTGAAAGTACGTAGATGAATGGGGGTCACGTCCGGGATGTAGGGAGGTTACTCCTCATGTATTCTAGTGCAGGTGCTTGGATATGGAATGACTCACTTCTTCACACCTGAAACTGAGTAGGAGGACAGACAATATAAAATGGTGGTTATGCAAGGACACCTGTTTTTTTAGCTCAAAACAGAACTGAGCTCACATTTCCTGGCTTAGTTAGTCATGAAAAGTAAGATTTGTCCCCTAATTAGGGTATTTGTGTGAGAGTGGCAGAGCGATGGATGCGTAGTTGATGATACTCTGGTCACATGGCAAGGAAGGTATGGAAAGGTTAAGTTTAATTACCAGGAGTAGTTTCGCGGCTTTCAAAAAGCCCTGAAGCAAGACAAGATAAACCGTGAGAAAGATCTCAAATAACTCACTCATTTCTTATAAAAGGATGGAATGCTCCCTCCAGCTTAGCTTAACTGCCTAATAATGGCAAATATGTGTTAACGTTTTAAAATCTTAACTTTAATCAAATGTGCTTAATGCTAAAACACATAAAGCTGCAAATAATATGAACAACTGACATCAGTTAGCTGAGCGAGTAAAAAGAGTTTTGACATGTTGTGCATAAAATGTAATAGAATCTGCAATTGTATGAAACTCAGGTCAATTTAGCTTCAATGGGATTGAAACTCATGATCCGATAAACATGTCAAAACATTCAGTCTGTTAAGCGCTAACGGCAACTTAAAGGAGATGGTTGACACAACAGAAGTGGGATATTAGAGTAACAAAAATCTAAAGAAAATTCCTCTGCTCTTCTTAACACATATAGAAAAAAAATGTAACCTTGGATACAGCTAGCTGAATGCATGTTTGTCCTGATTTTAAAGAGCATTTAATCTAAGCTTGCATCATATATGCATGACAATTAGTTTTTTATTTATTTATTCAGGCATTAAAATTGCATTATTAAACCCTGACCTTTGCACCAACTACCTTAGATGTTAAAAAGTTTAACAATAATTTACAATTATAAACTTACTCTGTTGGTCATTTAAATTACTGAATGGGGGTAATAAGTTGCCATGACTTATACAATAATAAACAGCTATGCAATAATATATTTGTGTACATTTGTTATTAACCAACTATTTAGAATTTAATAACCTAATGTGATTCAAAAACAGTACACTCAAAATAAAATGTCTGGGGAAATATTACATCAAATTTGAATAAAGAAGAAAAGTCAATAATTTGAAAGCCACCCGTATGTTAATCATTCAGGACAGGGTTAATTAAAAGATATTTTTACAGTGTATCATAATCTGAACGCTCTACTATAATATTCAGCTATTTCAAACTCTAATAATGCAAATAATGATATTAATAAGGGGGATTGTATGAAATCTCATGCCATGTGATTATTAAATTCCTTTAATAATCATGCATTGTGAAATGAAAACATAATGATATTTCAAGTTAAAGTAAAAGAACGGTTTTGCAATATCAGCATACCAGAGTGAGGGTGAAATTAGCAGATGCCAAATTCAAAAGCCAAAAATACATCAATGACAAGAATTTAAAAGAGATTTCACTATACCCTCAATACTAATAACTCTCTGTTGCACGCAAATAAGGCTACACTACCTGACAAAAGTCTTGTCGCCTATCCAAGTTTTAGGAACAGCAATTAATAACTTATGTTCTAGTTGATCATTTGTATCAGAAGTGGCTTATATAAAAAGGCAAAGGCCTCTAGATTACTTTCTGATTTTACCAAAATAAAATATGTTCATGCCTTGATTTTAAATTATTTAATTAGGACAGTAAGGTCTGACTTTGCTTAGACAAAAGTCTTGTCACTGAACAGAAGTAATGTACAGTATAGAATATAAAGTCATGGTGCAGTGGAAAAAGAATGAATATTGTGTATGACTCCTATGAGCTTGGAAGACTGCATCCATCCACCTCTGCAATGACTCGATTAACTTATTAATAAATTCATCTGGAATGGCAAAGAAATCGTTCTTGCAGGACTTCCAGAGTTCATTAAGATTCTTTGGATTCATCTTGCCTCCTTCTTCTTACTGCAGACATGCTCAATAATGTTCATGTCTGGTGACTGGGCTGGCAAATCCTGGAGCACCTTGACCTCCTTTGTTTTCAAGAACCTTGATGTGGAGGTTGAAATATGAGAAGGAGCACTATCCTTCTGAAGAATTCGCCCTCTCCTGTGGTTTGTAATGTAATGGGCAGAACAAAAATGTCTTGACACCTCAGACTGTTGATGTTGTCATCCACTCTGCAGACCTCTCGCACAACCCCATACTGAATGTAATCCAAACCATGATTTTTTCCTTCACCAAACTTGACTGATTTCTGTAACAATCTTGGGTCCATGCAATTTCCAATAGGTCTTGTGCAGTATTTGTGATGATTGGGATGCAGTTCAACAGATGATTCACCAGAAAAATCTACCTTCTGCCACTTTTCTGCCAATTTTTGTTCTAAATATGAATGAATACCTCACAAGATTGAAACAATATGAGTCATTTATTCATTTTATCGCATATTTATCAGGGGTCGCCACAGCGGAATGAACTGCTCTGTATGATAGTAAAAACCAACCTTTTTACTACACAGTCTGTCAGTCAGGTAAACATTACCACTGAGCGAACATCTCATCTTAAAATGGTAGAGGGAGATGCTTTTATGTTTCATAAGACCATGACCAAACATCCCGATGCTCTTGGTAACTGTCAGATCTAACTCGCTGATATACATATAAGGGTATCTGTCTATCAGGGTCAACGCAATTCCTGCTAAGATCTCTACAGTGCAGCATAAATCAAGTATTCCTGCATGAAGGATACAAATCTACCATAGTAAAAGTGTTACAAAAACTTGGTTGAAACATTACACTGACTAGATATTAGTTTGTACAGGAGTTTCCCGCTGGTATTTTTGCCAGCGGGGACACGGTTCACAAAACGCAGCGATAAGCGTTCTTCAAACTTGACAAAGAAGAAAGATTTGTTTGTCAAGCCTTTAGCCGATGTTCTCACTCTACAGAGAAGCATAGCAGCACTTTAATAAGTCACTTAACCTCGTTTCAGGTCAGTCTAGTAGATTGCAGCTTATTTTTGTGATTAAATGACCTGTTGTCATCCAGTCTTTCTGCATTTTGTACAACGCAATCCAACACTGGATGCCATTTAAATCACAGAGCAAAAATAGCTTCTTTGTTTAGTTCATGGCTTGAATTTACACTTGTTTCAAAGGGTCTTTGTTGCAGTGTGACCTCTGATTGAATTATGGTTCAAAGGGTCTAACAAAAATATTTCTTACTTCCTAAAACATCTAAAAAAATACTCTCTGATCTTGAGCCAATACACAGATCTGAGGATTGAAACCGGTTTGTGTTGCTTTAAGAAGGAAACCATTTATTTGTTTTATTTTAATCCAATTAATTTTATTCTTTTCTCCTTTTAATCTATTTATAATCATTATCCCCTGTTAACATTTAATCCAGAGTTTAGAATTAAATCATTCACTAATTAAGTTTTTTTTAGTATTAAGTTTGCATTTCATTACTTACTGTCTTTGCTCTTGCCATGCTTGGGAGTCTTGATTTATTGTAGATTCGAGGGAGGATTTGTTTTCACTGTTAAGAGATAAGAGAAATATCTCAATTTCAAGGTTTTTCACATCACAGGACAATAGTTTTACAGTGTAATTTTTCATTGCTATTTGCTTGGTTTCTTATTATAGCGCTTACGCTGATTAGATTAAGTTTTTAAACACACTCTGCTCATTTTAATCATCAATTCATCTCTAGGTTTTGAGGACTGAACAGATTTTGGGTAAGTATTACACAATTGTTTTGACGGGCTGTAGGGACACCAGACAAAAGAGAAATTTTCTGCCAGGATCTGGTGTCTGAATGTAATTTATCCAACAAGGAGACTTAATCTAACAGAGTGGAACAATTTCATTATACTGGTATTCTTTCATTACAAGAATCTGAGTGCTTTCATTTTCACCTGGGAACTGGGGAACAATAAAATGCATTGTAGAACGGCAAAACTAAAAAATTATAATTGATTATTAATATTAAACTGCAGAAAAAGCAATAAGTTAGTTATTAAGTATTTATAATCCCTAGTATTTACTTCAAAAAATTTAATTCATAACTAAAAGTTGTATCTGCAATATTATGTAAAGCACTTAAGCTAACATGAACTACAATAATGTTTGTATGCTAATTAACCAAGATCAATAAACTCCACAACTAATTATTTTTTTATTGATTATTATTATTATTATTATTACTACTATTAGTAGTAGTATTGTAGTTGTTATTATGATTATTTAATTTATTTATTCCACGACAAATGTTACCTTTTTTATTGATTGTTTTTGTGGACAAAGGAGTTAGATAACAAAGCGTGTTTTCTTTTCTTTTCCTTTGCTGAAAATAGGTAAGTTAGAGGGAATTTAAATTTAGATTTGAATTAGATTTAAATTGTTTTGTTTATTTTTTGGCCTGGTCAGCTCCTGAAGTTGAAAAAACATACAAATTTTGTTTGAGAAAATCATTGTGTAAAATAAAATATCTATATATTTTCTTCTCTATAAGAGAATTGTGTTGGCGCAATAGTCGTTAGCGCATTGATGTATGGTGCTGTAGCACTTCAGGGCGTCCCGAGTTCAAATCCAGACTTGAGGACATTTCCCGATCAAATGAGCAAATCAAATGAGATCCGTCAGGGCAAAACATTGCAAAATGATTTTTCAAAGTTGCAAATAAAAAATAAATAAAAATCTCATGTTCTACTTCCAATTTTTAAGTTTAATTCATTGTGCTACTGTCTTTTTAGGTTTGCAAACTGTTTGTGAAGTTTACTTCATTTTTCAACAGTAAAAAATGGGGAAGAGTGAAGAATTAGTCTTCACACCAGTCCTTAAAACACATATGTTTAGAACGACCTACTCTCTTCAACTCTTTTTAAAACTGTATTGTATTCTATTGACTTTTATATTGTGTTGTTATTTGAACTGACTGTTCTTGCGTGCCGTCTTGTACAGTGACCTTGAGTGTCAAAAAATGCACCTTCAAATGAAATGATTTATTATTACTATTGTTATTATATTACCATTATTATTACATGTGGATCTTTACAGTCAGAGCAAACTTAGTGCAACACAGAAATACATGAAAGAAAAAAATTAATGTGCTCATAAAGCAAAACTGTGATTGAAAGTAGCTAATATAAGCCTATGAACGTTTTATTGCTGTTGGAAATCATTACTCTAAAAAAAACTAAAGTTTGTTGAGAAGGTAATATCTCAAAAGACTTAGGGACAAAATGCAAAAGTTCTTCTGGGAAATTTTCTTCTGCAAAAAGATTTTTCAAAGCTGCAAATAAAAAATAAATTTGCTGTATGTTATACTTCCAATTATCGGGATTAATTCATCATTAAATTACTGTCTTTGTAAATTGTTTGTTAAATTTACCAACAATTTCTCAATGAAGAATATTTCGACTTCATGTTTCATCAATAAAATATTAGTGGGAGAAAAATTAGGGTTCACATGTGGACAAACTGTATTATTTTTTGCAGTAAAAGTTTACACAAAAACACAAGAAAGAAAAAAATGCATGTGCTCATAAAGCAAAACTATGATAAAAAGTAGCTGATGTAAGCGTAGGAACTTTTTATTAACGTGTACTTATTAAACAATATGAAAAGCAGCCTATGCAAAACAATATGTAAATCCTGCATATATATCAGACAATCAGGTTGTTTAGATTCAACACAGTTCAGTTCAACACAGTGCATGTTTAATCTCTGCTATGAAATAACATAAAACTGAACTAATTAACAGACCACATTATTTCACTTTCTTTCAGTTTAACGTTAGCTACAGATTGCTGATACACAAAGGCATATGCTCATCTTGACATACATTATTAAAAACTAAATAAACACTGCTTTATGCCACAAAAATGAGTTTATGTCCAGCTGTCATTATGTAAGAGCTTTCAACTCAGACTGAAGTTAATTTAAACCCCTTAATCTTCATCAGCACTTCACTGACATCATGGCACATTTTTAACCCAAGGGTAAACATATTTCAGGTTAAATGTGTCTTAACACAGCCACGAAGGGGGCTATTTCTCTCAAAAGAAAAATCCAAATTGCAGAAAATAATTATCACTAGAAGAGAAAAGTTATCAACCTTAACATAATTCGAGATATAAAGTAAATATTTACGTTTGCTTACATGAAAAACGTTAAACGTAAATCCTAATATGATTTACTTAAATCGCTGAAACACACCTGATGAATTCTTTTAAAAACAGGAGACCAGAACAGATAAGTTCGAGAGAATAGACTGATTTTATACATGAATATGACTTCCTTACCTGCTAAAAACGATGTGACAGCGAAATCCCATTCAGCCTCTCAAACTTCAGCACATTTGAACGGTCTCTGCACTCCAACTCCCCGCTGAGAGAATATTAATGAGGCGGTAACAATGAATGAGGCTCCACGTTCCCTGAGTGCAGGAACATACTATTGGAGAGAGAGGGGACAGTGGTGGAATGTTCCACTCGCGTCCGATAGAGGGCACTCAAACCAAGTCAATCAAAGAGCTTTCGAATAAAGAAGCAACCTTTAGTGTATCATAACTGATAATAGTTCATATTTAGCTAAATAATATAACCTTATGTCTGTAAATACGCAATATTCTCTTAGTCGTTCAGTAAAAAAAATGCCTTTTTGGTTCATCAACAGCATGCGCATCGAAGAACGCCATCACGTCATTTGAAAACAAATCTGAACTGTATTGTTCCGCGAGGCAAAAGGGGCTGCTGTAATTAATAGTATAGACTGGAGAAAAGTTTTGGTTGCTGCTTTATAAATACTTTCTTCCTAATAAAACGAAAGAAATCAAGTTTTAAAATATTGCATAAAATATATCCGGCTAACTAATTTGTTTCCAAATATGTTGATATTCCGAGTAATTGTATATTTTGTGGTAAGGATGATGAACTTCAATACATTTATTTTGTATGTGTGAATTTGTTCAGAAATTTTGGTTTGACCTGTATAATTATTTAAACACTCCTACTACCTTTGGACAATCTTTTAGTTTAACAGAAATTATTTATTACTCAGATTCTGCACATAAATCTAAAGAATTTATCTTCAACTTTTTTTTACCTTAAGTGGGAAAGTGTTTCACAAACAAAAATAAATGGCTTCAAACCCTTTTCGACAGTTTCTGACTGAAGTTGACTGCTCAAATCTTTCTGTATGTGTAACAAATGTGTCAGATTCTTTATGCAGATCTCTCATCTATATTGACTTTGAATAGATTTGGATAGCTTTCCTGTAATGCCCTTGATTTATTTGTTTTCATACACGTTTACACAATTGTAATTTACTTATATTTTCTTTGTTTTGTTAGTCTTTTTTTCTTTCTGCAGCTAATGTAGCTTGTCTTTTTCCTCTATTGTATCTATATTGATCTCCTGATGGTGGTTGTATATTTTCATTCTTAAATAAATAAATAAATTAATTAATTAATTAATTAATTAATTTGAAAAAAAAAGAAAATTGTCATTTTGAAAATAAGATAAAAAAAATTTAAAAAAAAGAGGAATTTTATAAACTGAAATTAAACATCTGTTTTATTACTAAAATCAGTGGATTAAAATAAAAGAAAATACATAAAATAAAAAGAAGCAAATTATAGATTTATTTTTAACCACATTAATAATAATAATAATAATAATAATAATAATAATAATAATAATAATAATAATAATAATAATAATAATAATAATAATAAATTAATACTGGGCCTAAATAATAATGACAAGACATTCTATGACAAGCAAAACATTGTACATTTCTAAATATATTGTTTTTAAAAAATGTGACATACAACTTCAAGTTTTTACAAAAGGAGGAGGATTGGAGACAGTAAACAAACTGGTGCATTACGTTTTCAGTTTAATCACTCCAATTTTTGCAAATATGCCACCTGCTTGCTTCAGAAGCACAGTGGGCAACTGCTGTACTATGTTAATTATTACATTATATCTACAGTGTGACACTGCCTCTGACTCTGTTAATGCTAAAATGCCCAGACTTGTGAACAATGAGTGAGGCTGTTTTTGGCACATTTCAGTGATGTTTTTTTTTTCAGGGAAGGTTAATATTTTACAGTGGATTTCTTATTTAGCAGGCACATAACAAAAAGTCTACAGTGTAACAGAATATCCTTCAAACTAAAATATGAAAAAAAAAGTTAACCCTGACACTACAAACAAGGCATTCGTGATTTAAGATGATCTTGAGCAGAGAGCATAAAGAGCCTTCTGTCAGAGAAATGACCCAGCGTCCACGCTCACTCTGGGGTGAACTGCAACAAGAAACTGGCCGAAAAACAAATATTATTGAATAACAAGAACAATAGCATACAAACAAACTGAGGAATACAGTTTTTACATTATTTCAAACATCAAAGGAACAAATCAACAGAGAATAAAAAACAAAAAATAAATGAATAAAATTACAGGGGATATATAAATTACAAGAAATACGCATACGAAAAATTATTCAAAAAAATCCTTTTTGCATACATCCTTATTGCTTCTTAAAAATATTTTAAATGTATTTTATGGTTTAAATTTTAAGATCAATTTTAAACAAAAACGCTAGGTTTATTCTTGGCCATTTTTTTTGTGTAAATGGGACTTCCCATATTATTATTAAATGAATAATCAAATTTTGCTCCAAAGTTTTTTATTATTATTGTTATTATTATTATTATTATGTCAAAAAATTACCTTTACAAGAAAACTTAATTTCTAATTTTTTTTTTAGATTTAACTATAAAAGATATTGAACATCAAACCAAAACATTTGTGTATATGTGCATTCAAAAAACAGACGTATTCTGGATTCCTCTTCTAATTCACAAAAAGTGCACGCAGATTCAATGTTTCTAAAAAAAAAATTAACAACCTGTTTCACTGTATAAATTAAATTGATTAGTTTGTCACTTCTTTAACTTTATTGGTGAGACAGTATTTATTTGACAAGTTCCAAACTTTTTACCACTCAATCTGCTCAAATAAGCAATTCCAAAAAGGTTTGCATTCAGGCAACAATGTGGTTCTGCAAAACTTTTAAAATGTAAAACTTATTCAAGTTATTGCCTATAATTTTCACACCATTATAACTTAACTAATTAGTATGTAACAGGTTGGATTTAGAGGACATATTACCAGATAAGAGTTGAACAAGACAACCAGGAACTGCATCAAATGCTATTGCAAATTCTTTGGCAGTAATCATAATAATAAAGAAATTGACCATTACTTTTGAATAATTGTCGCACCAATATAATATCATTACTGTACCAATTTCTATAAAATAAAGATTTATTTTTAAAGGTTATCCATTTGTTATACATCACTGTATAACAAAGGTTATAGAGCACTGATTTATGTGGAGAAAAAATATGCTTGTAAATAAGCATCCATAGTAAACATACCCGTTAATGAAAAGAGGAACGTTTTATTGGCACCTTGTTAATATCAAAATCACACCTTAAAATAATTCTAAACCCTCCACCTGGTCAAAAACTAATTCAGGGATGATGCTCCAAATTTTGCCTTTATTCAGGCAATTCTTAATCTATTTGTTTTTAAATAGCCTACACGGTGTTGAAGTTAACAACATGGTGACCACTATCTTTAAGTGGCATGCACAAAATTGTCTTCTTTAAATAATGTGGTCTGCTCCTTCATATCAAATTGAACAAAAAATTATCCACCTCTTTTATGACTAAATGTGGAGCATCGAATGCAAGAGCCGTGTATACTAAACGTGACAATCCTTCAGTTTTGGCTTTAATATCCCCCCCCTTGACTTACAAATCTCTCATTAACCATAAGTTTATATTTTGTTGCTTTCCTATGAAAAGAAAAACGTGCTGACGTCATCAGCGGAAGGGCGGGGCTAAAGGTTCACTCGACTCGATGAGTTCTGGTGAGTTGACAGACAAAAACAAAACTGCAGAGCAAAAGAAGCGGCATATACTCATTGTTTTAGATTTTAGTTTAAGCGTATTTATAACCTTAGTTTATTCGCGCAACATTTGAGAATTTATTACGCTGTTACTCATCGCATCTTGTGTTTATTGATGTGTGTTAGCAAGCTAGCCTACTGTAGCTCATTGTACAATGAGAACCGCAGAGAGTGAATTTACATCCATTTGAATAATTCTATACTAAAATCACTACAATAATTTTTAAATACATCTTTCATAACTCTTTATAGCTATAACCAAGCCTGTATTGTTTTATTGTAAAGAGGATTAATGACATCATGACGCTATTGATTTTTTTTCTCACGTCCAGCTCGACAAACATGGACCAGAAGATTCCGTATGATGATTATCAGCTGCCGGTAGTGTTTCTTCCCTCCTATGAAAACCCTCCTGCATGGATCCCTCCACAAGAAGTACTGAACACTACTATTGCACTTCATTTAATCTTATCATTTGTAATCAAACATAAATCCTAATTATCATCTTTCTTCTTTGTAATCAGAGGATTCATCACCCTGACTATAACAATGAGCTCGCCCAGTTCCTACCTCGCACTATAGTGTTAAAAAAGCCCCCTGGTGCACAGCTGGGCTTCAATATCCGTGGAGGAAAAGCCTCGCAGCTTGGCATATTCATTTCAAAGGTGAGTTCAGCTGTGCTAGTTAAAAACTTGTTCGTCTATTTAAACATTTGACTTAATCGTATGTTGTTTGGGACAGGTGGTGCCAGATTCAGACGCCCACAGGGCAGGACTTCAGGAGGGTGATCAGGTGCTTTCTGTCAATGAAGTGGACTTTCAAGACATTGAGCATTCAAGGGTAAGATCTGACCTGTCAGTCTACGGACAGAAGAACACTGACTGGATATGCCTCTGGATGGATGTGCCTCTAAGCTCAATTGGTCTAATCTTTGATTTGTTTTCTAGGCAGTGGAGATTTTAAAGACAGCAAGAGAGATTTTGATGAAGGTTCGATATTTCCCTTACAGTGAGTATTACAATAATTAATATGACATGACAAATCAGACATTTCCTTTACAGTTTTGAATAACAAATTCAAATGCAATAGAGGTAAAGTTGGTTTTATATTCGCACATTCGTTTATTTAGGAGTCTCTATATTGTTTACCATGTTACTTTGAATATTCGATCTGAATTAGCATGCGAGTATGACTTCTAAACAACAGTAACACAATCTAATTCACTGTGAACAATGTTGTACTTTGATAGTCATTTGCTGCTAATATGATTTCCCTATTTACAATTTGCAAAGAATATTTTTCTGAAATTATATTACTAAGGAGAAAGTCTGAATATCCGAATATAAAACCAACTTTACCTCTATTCAAATACACGCCATATAGTAAAAGATGCAAGCAAGCTGCATTTTCTCACAACGCAAATATTTGAAAATGTTTCAAGGGGACCCTAAAACATGACGGACCAAGCTATTTAGGTTATGGTTATTTAGGCTAATAAATACTAAAGACACGGGAATCGGGATATGAAAAAAAAATCTTTCAAAGATTACCTAAAACTTCACTGAGCATTATCGCGGACAATACTCACGGCACAGCGGCGTCTGTCACATTTTTGGGTCCACTTGAAACATTTCTGTTGTGTTGTGAGAAAATGCAGTGCGTTTCCCAAATTGTTTGAGTTGTGAGAGTGTAGCACGTTTTTTTAAAAATGTGTTTGCGTTGTGAGGATTTGCAGCATGTGTGCAGTCAAACAGATGAAGATCGTTTCTCAATTTGCTGTTGTTTTTTTGTAATTGCATGAGTTTTCTTAAAGGGCAGCATGTTAAGCTCTCTCGGCCACTGTATGTAAGGGTTAAAATCAGATTTTTGTTTCTTATTAAAATCAGGGTTATTCCAGCAAATATAGATTTTGACTGTTTAAAAACTAATATAAACATGTCTAAAACACAGCAGTTTTTATAACATAATTTTGATCTTATTTCATGCAATCAAAGCTATTTCTTTAACATTTTTATTTTAAATATAGAAGAAATGTCTAAGAATAATACAAAAATCACATCTTATTCAAACATAAAATATGTGCTGCCAAAGTATACAAAACTTCATGAAAGATTTTTAGGTTCACTAAGTGTCATTTTAGCAGACGTCTTCTGTAAATCATGGCAAAAATGTGTGAAAGTTTGTGTTTTTGCTCTGAGGAAAGAAAAAAAATGAAACTGGACTCATTCTTCAGTATGCAAGTAGAGAATTACAGTTAGTTATTAGACGCTCTGTAGTTATGAAATGACTTAATAACTATAATGATTTGACATTCAAATTTTTAAATACTGAAACTGTATGATAATATATTTAAAAAAAAAATATGGTGGCGCAGTGGGTAGCATGATCCCCCCACAGCAAGGGTTTGAGCCCCAGCTGGGTCAGTTGGGATTTCTGTGTAAGTTTGCATGTTTTCCCCGTGTTAGGTCAGGTTTCCTCCGGGTGCTCTGGTTTCCCACACAGTCCAAACACATGCGCTATAGGTGAATCGAATAAGCTAAATTGGCCATAGTGTATGTGTATAAATGCAAGAGTGTATGGGTGTTTCCTAGTGTTGGGTTGCAGCTGAAAGGGTATCTGCTGCGTAAAACATATGCTGGATAAGTTGGCGATTCATTACGCTGTGGTGACCCCTAATTAAAATAAAGAGACTAAGCTGAAAAGAAATTGAATTAATGAACGAATAAATATTTTGGGAGATGTCTGCGAGAATGGGGGGCTATATCATATCAAGAACCACTGCATTAGTCTAGTTAAAATAATTAAAACAGGGGTGTCCACACTCAGTCCTGGAGGGCCGGTGTTCTGCAAAGTTTAGTTCCAACTCTAATCAGACAAAGCTGGGCTTGCTAATTGAGCTCTTACTAGGCTTTCTAGAAACATTCTTGCTGGTGTGTTGAGACAAGTTAAAATCTGCATGGACACTGGCCCTTGAGGCCCGAGTTTAGACACCCCTGGCTTAAAAGGATGGCTCAGTCAAAAGTTTTAACTTACTGACCCTCAAGTGGTTCCATACCTTTATAAGTTTCTTTTTTCTGTTGAACACAAAATAAGATAATTGGAAGAATGTCATAAACCTGTAACCATTGACTTTCATAATAGGAAATACTAAGGAATTCAGTGGTTACAGGTTTCCAACATTTTTTCAGAGTAACTTTTTTGTGTTCAACAGAAAAAAGAAACTCAAACAGGTCTGAACGAGTGAGGCGTGAGTAAACGATGACCGAATCCTCAGTTTTGGGTGAACTTTCCCTTCAAGTGACTGTTTCTGGCTGTGCTTGACATCATGAATGTGTTTCCAGATTACCAGCGGCAGAAGGAGAGGACTGTCCACTAGGTGTCAGAGTAGACCTTCAGGAGCGCAGCAGTGCCGTGACGCAGCGATGAGGCGTTGGTGTGTCAGTGAGAAAGGCTCGTCTCCTCTGCATCATCTTCCTCCCACAAACTCTTTTCTCTGCCTAAAAGACTGCTCAAAGAAATCATCTTCAAACACTCCAGCACATGCCTTGATGATTCATATCTAGCGCTGGCTTTTCCAGATGCGTCTCCTGTTTATGTGTGCTTTCATCTGGGAAAACAAGCATATTCTTTGGGACATGAAGAGAAACACATGCTAGAAGTCTTATTTATTAAAAGAACTATATAGAAGTGTAGGGCTAAGGGAAATTCCTGAGTAATTTAGTTTATAAAATGACTGATGTTATAATGACTAATATATCTTGTATTCTTTAAAACCTTTTTCTTTTTTAAGTACATTTCAGTCGTGCATAAGCATTTTGATGTCCTGCTGAAAAACACATTGCTACTGACTAGTTAAATGTCATTCAATTGTGCACATACACTGTGTAGTTTATGTCCAAATGCCATTTATCCACATTTTTTCAAATAAATATGTAGGATCCCATGATGTTCTCTGATGGGTGAAACCTGGACTGAATCGCAGGATCTAGTCATAAAACATCTATTGGCAAATTTTGGGTGAATAAAAGAAATGTAGTGATGTAAAACTTACCTTATTGCAATATGGACTAGTGTCTGAATATTAAACCTCTCAAGGCTATTTTAAGTCTGCATGTTTTGTGTGTCTTCACGAATGAATGAATAAGTTCTGTTTAAAACACAAACTCAAGCGCGTGTTGGTTTAGACACTCGTGGTGTTTCCAGGATCTGCAATCTCACTATGAGAACGTGAACACAAAGTTCATATGCAGAACTGCTTTGACAGTCACTTAATTTAAGAGTATTTTGCCATTTTAAGCTAAGAATAACTATTACACAAGAACTGAAACGTCTTCTCGGCATTCCGGCAAAATAAAAGTTCTGTGGACAGGATTATACTATTGTCCAGTAGAATATATTTCTAATATTAATAATAATAATAAACTACATTGAGATTATTTTCCCCATTAGCTAATAAATACTGTTTGCGGATTTAATTAAATGGACTGTTTTGTTACAAAATGTATTGCTTACATGTATTGCATACTCAGCATAACTGAGTACACCCCATTTTGAAAATAAATATTTTTATCTATTTCTCGGTGAATATAGGTCATATATTTTGGTGCATTTAAACAAAACAGATTTATTTAACAGATATATTTATTAAATAATATTTTAGCCAACAATTGTTTTTAGAATTGGAAAGATAATACATTTATATTCATGCTAAATATATATTTTTAAATTACAAACTACAAAATTTAACACCAACATTTTTATTTATTTTTTGCTCTTTTTAAAATGTCTTTAATATTTTTCCCTAACAAATACATTTGGTCTACTAATTTTTTAATCATTATCGTAAGTTATTTTGTTATATTAGCTCCAGATTTGGCTTTAGTACTGACTAAAGTATATGCACAAACATAATATTGTAAACATCCTATAGAAAATATTTTTATTGAGTCCAGAAAAAATAAACAAAAAAATTAATTTTGATTAAAAAAAAAGAAAAAAAATTAATTTCTACATATGGAAAAAGGTGTGTGGAAGGGTGTAAGAAGTAAATATTATAATCTCAGAAATGGCAACTTATGTTAGTGTTAGTAAAGTTAATCTACACTACTTGACAAAAGTCTTGTTGTCTATCCCAGTTGTAAGAGCAACAAATAATAACCTGACATCTAGTTGATCATTTGCAAAAGCGGCAGAAGGTAGATTTTTCTGATAAATCATCTGTTGAGCTGCATCCCAATCATCACAAATACTTCAGAAGACATATTGGTACCTCCATGGATCCAAGAATCTCATAGTAATCAGTCAAGTTTGGTGAAGGATAAATCATGGTTTGGGCTTACACTCAGTATGGTGATGTGCGAGAGATCTATAGAGTGGATGACAACATCAACAGCCTGAGGTATCAAGACATTTGTGCTGCCCATTACATTACAAACCACAGGAGAGGGCAAATTCTTCAGCAGGATAGTGCTCCTTCTCATACTTCAGCCTCCACATCAAAGTTCCTGACAGCAAAAAAGGTCAAGGTGCTCCAAGATTGGCCACCAGACATGAACGTTAGTGAGCATGGCTGGGGTAAGATGAAGGAGGAGGAGGCATTGAAGATGAATCCAAAGAATCTTGATTAACTCTGAAAGTCATGCAAGAACGTTTTCTTTGCCATTCCAGGTGGCTTTATTAATGAGTTACTTGAGTCATTTCAGAGATGTATGGATGCAGTCGTCCAAGCTCATGGGAGTCATGCACAATATTAATCTAGAGGCCTTTGCCTTTCATATAAGCCACTTCTGATACAAATCATCAACTAGAAGTCAAAGTATTATTTGTTGTTCCTAAAACTTATAGGCGACTAGACTTTTGTCACAGATTGGTGGACATGCAGACACTACGCTGGGTATTCTACAATGATTATGTAAACTAATAATGCGCAGTGCCATAAATATACCTTCCAAAATCAATAAACAATCTTATTAAGAACAATGAATGAAACAAAAAGCCTTCAAAAGAACAATATAATTTATTTAAAATAGTGAATGTACAAAACCATATTACCCTTCAGTGAGTTAGGACTTCATACATATTAAATTCAAGTTCCCAAACTCAAATCTACACATCCATCCTTCCTCAGAATGAAAACATCTGTAATAAATACAGGCAACTTTGCAACCCGACTGTCCTGACAAATGCCTTTGCATGAATGCACTGCTGTCAAATTAAAGAGATAGTTCACCCACAAACTACCTCACCATTTACTTACATGGTTACAAACCGTTATGAATTTCTTTATGCTGTTGAACACAAAAGAAGATATCTTGCAGAATGCTGAAGACGGTATTCATTGAGTGAATGGTTACAGGATTCTATCTATCTAAAAAGGACTTTTGTGTTCAACAAAAGAAAGTCAAACACCTGTAAAGGGCGAGGAAATTATAAAATTGTCAGTTTTGGCTGAACTACTCTAAAGACATAAGTGTAAAGCACAGGACAGCTCAATCAATCAGTTTCTTCACTATCCCTCTGCCTGTTACAGGCAACTGAACAAATACCACTTCAAGTAATAAATCCTGAGGTAATACTAATTCATGTTTTGGTCTGCTTCGCTCTTATTACAAGGCCACAAAACACAGGTTCTCTCATTGTTGCTTGGTGTCACTCATTATCACACGCACAAACACACACCTCATTTAAAAGACGCACAGATATAAATATGCAAACAAAGAATGGCATTGCAGGAGAGCCTCTCCCAAAACACGGAGACTTAAAAGAAATATTAAACATGTTTGACTACTTACAAGCTATTCAACTGCCATTAACACCACTTAGGTGTGGCTTCATCAAACCATCTAATAATAAATTACAAAGCAAAAAGGTCATTCACGAAAATGAACCACCTTCAGAATGGTATTAAACTAAATTAGGAATTAGAGCTGCATAGTGATTCCTCTTTTTCGAGCACCATTGATGGCGTAAGAACCTCTGGTGTGGATAATTGGATGTGCTGTGATTGTAAACATCTACTCTGTGAGCAGGAGGGAGGAATAGAAGTGTGGTGTGAGGTAACTGGACCAGAGCTACAAACCGTCTGCTCTTTTTTTTTTTTTCTTCTCAGTTTGAAGTCATTTTTAGCTGCTGTCCTCGTTCTCTTGAGCGTCTCTGGTCGAGCTCTCATCCACGTTCTCGAGCGAGTCTCCGCGCTGGATGGACAGCTCTGCGGGGTCCATCATGGCCAGTTCGCTCTGGATGGGGTACAGCCATGGCTTATGATCTGGAGAGTTTGCTGCTTTCCAGGCAGGGTAGTTTTGTCCAGCTTTATGAGCGCTTCTCAACACCTGAGGAATGACAGAAGAGAATGAAGGAGTGGCACTGGTATCGCCGGAAGTGACACTGAACTTTGGCCGTTTTCTTCAGTCTTGTGTAACCCAAACAATGTGACAGAATCAAGTTTTACCTCATTTTCTAGAAGTGCAGTGACTCAAATTGCAGCAAGTCTTTTTTGTTCAAGTGTTACTATAAATAAGCAGCATTTCTGGATTCTGACTTGGCAACATCAAGTACAGTAAAAAATATCTGTTCATTTCTGTGTTTTGTGATTCACATGTGTTTTCTGTTTATTTACGGTTGTGAATTGCGTTATGGGATCTTGATCTCTGCTCTGTCCACTTTTGATGTTGAAAATTCATCTCTACAGTTTAACAAAGTGACTTTTATTGACATTTATTAGTTTGAAATAATACAATAGGGTTTCTGCAGGTCTCATCAAGTTAGATTTAAGACATTTTTAGGACCGTTTTGATTGAACTTTTAAACTTCTATAGGGCTTAGCTCTAAGGATTTTTTTTTAAATATCCCAGTTAGAAAACATTTTCACTTGCCCTTTTAAAAATTATTAAAATGTAATATATTTAATAATAAAATAATAATAATTTACCCAGAGATGGGTTGCGGCTGGAAGGGCATCCGCTGCGCAAAAACGACCCCGGATTAATAAAGGGACTAAGCCGACAAGAAAATGAATGAATAATAATAATAATGAAATATACAAGTCAGGTCAGTTTCCTCAGGAGTAAATAAATGTAGAACCTAAACATGTTACTGTAAGGAAAGTAACTAAATGCTTTTAGCAAATAAAAAGTTAAGAGTTTTATTAAGATGAATTGTTGGTGATTGTTTGGGCGTTAATGGTGAGATTGGATAGCTATACATGAACAAAGGAAAATTAAGACCTGTTTAGGACCTACAACACAATATTTCTGTAGATTTAGGACTTTTTAAGGCCGTAAAATTAGCTTTAGAGATTAAAGACATTTTAAGACCCTGCTGATACACTGATATATGAAATAAAATAAAGAGAAATGATTTACTGGCAGTTTATTATAAGGTATTTGTACTGTAATCACACAACACCATCCCAGACAATACATCCATTTAAACTGCTAAAAAATGTTAATAAAAGTCACTTTGTTTTTTTACTTTTCCATGAATCACAAAATACAGAAAGCTGCTCATTTACAGTGTATCACTTGTGCAATACTGCCCATAAGACGAAATTTAATGTGAATGACCTGCCGTTTGGTTTGATATAGACAAAGTAGTTGAGTAATCATAAAAGAATAAAAATCATCATTATACTTTAAAAAGTAACATTGTAGCACCATGTAGAGATAAAGACATCCTGATTTGGTGTCCACATTAAATTGAATTAACAAAAGGACTTACATTTTACTTACTCCCAGAGACGTTTATATCGAAGTTGATATTTAGCCACACCATTTTGGTCTTTTGAAACATCAAATTTTTACGAGGTGGGTCATTAGCCCAACATTCAACCCCAACCTGGAGGACCAGGACCAGGACACACACGGACACACACACACGGACACACACACGGACACACACACGGACACACACACGGACACACACACACACACACACACACACACACACACACACACACACACACACACACACACACACACACACACACACACACACACACACACACACACACACACACACACACACTACAGCTTACGCAATTTACCTATAGCGCATGTCATTGGACTTGTGGGGGACACCGAAGCACATGGAGGAAACTCACGC